CATGCTGAGTGCAGAAGATCTCCACACTGGTTTCAGGCTAATGAAGGCCTCTCTTGCTTTTCCGATTCTGACTTTGACGTCCTCGTCCGTCCCGCCTGTAGTTGAGACAGTGCTTCCTAGATAGGTGAAGGAGGTATAAATCCTATTAAACAAGCATTTTATTAGACCTCGCTTGTACTGGATTGGAGACAAACCGTGGAAATTCAGGTATTGTCCTGTCCATGTAGGCTTTTTGTAAACTGATTGTCTGATTGAACCGTCTTCTCGTCAACTCAGTAGTTTATCTAGGAATCGCAGATGATGTTTATTATTCTCTTTTTTAAGAATCAGGTTGATGTTAGTTTGTACGGTGTTAAGTCACTTTTCAGTAGACAAGCCATATCCTCATGCCTCTTACAAATCACTGTGACGTCATCAAAATATCTCTTGTAAAGAGAAACTTTAGCGGTGAAATCACTACCCAGGTTTTCGATATATGACATATAGCTAAACATGTCATAGAAACAGGTCACAAATGCTTAATGTTCAAACAGCTTTCAAAGTTTTATATAGAAACAGTCAGTCAGGGACATGTTCTGAGATTTGTGAAAACCATAGACACACAAACTGAAACCGCCTTTATGTGTACAAAAGCGGTTTGTTCTTACACTTCATCCACCCTTTGGTTAACTTCGTTTCCTTACCCAGATTAGGATCAACTATGTCACTCTTCCTGTTTCTTCTCACCTTCCTAATTTTAATCCTCTATTATTGTGTTAATTGTTGTATTTGTCCCACCCCCCAGTCTCTGTTTAATATATATTGACTTGAGACAAGTAAAGCTGTGTGTATCATCAGGTTGTTCAGATAAACTTTGTCTTTTAATTACGCTATCGAAATTTACAAAGTGGACTAATTATTTTAAATTTTCAGTTGTTAGATAGACTAAATAGTGTATAACCTAACCCAAAAGTATATCAGTTCGATTCACAGATTATCAAAACAATATATACAGAAGAAGTGAACAGATAAAGGACATTAAAGTAGATTAAAGTACATTAGAGGAGATGGAATAAATAGATAATGGGTATTTAGGGTATTCAACACCTCAAAAATGGCACACAGCGTATGCATTTGGACCATTGTGGCTGATTGTCGGGCTCAAACTTCTAGTCCTACTTTCTCAAAGCCTTACAAAACGTCATCTACAAAGCACTACATAGTTCATGGTTCAGTTCATGATCTGATGTCACATGTTGATTTGGTTATTATTGTCCATCTTCTTAAATAATCCTACTTCGGCTGACATTGCATGTCAAGGTAGGTGGTGGCTTAGTATGCGAAATACGTGTTCAACGCATTTCAGTCTCTGAAGGTTCACATCCTATTCGACTGACTTGCCTTCCTTACCTAGCCGTCTACATGCAACATCGATACAATTCACACGTTGATTTCACCATTACTATTATTATTATTTGTCCTTTGGGTTCCTAGTGGAACATAGGGCGTCAGTAGCACACCTCCATTCCACTCTCTTCTCTCCACTCTTCAAAACCTGGTTACGCCACTACCCACAAGCTCTAATTTCTTCCTCACATCATCTCCTCCATGTCACCCTTAGTTGGGACGCCCAGCTAGTCGTTTCCCATCTGAGTTCCACTCGACTGCCTGGCCTGGCCTGGTGCGTGATATCCTTGAATGGTCTTCTCAGTGTATGCTCAACCCGATCCATCTCCCTTTCCTTCCACTGCATATTTGTTGGGTGATCGCTTCTTGGTTGGTTCGTTACCAGGCGAGAGTTCCTTGTTGCTTATCCTTTCTGGCAATCTAATCTTCAGTAACGAGCCGGTGTAGGCAGTTGTTGATGAATATCTGTAGTTTGTTGGAAATGCTTTTCGTGACGCGCCAAGTCCGTGAAGCATCATATAGAAGCACTGGTTCACTTGACTGACATTAGTGTTAAATATGCGGATGTTGTTCACGCTTTATACTGAGTGCAGAAGGTGACCACACTGATTTGAGATTATTGAAAATTTGTTTTGCTTTTCCGATTGTGGTTTTGACATCTTCGTGTGTGCCTATGCCGCCTGTAGTTGAAATGATGCTGCTCTGCTAAGTAGGTGAAAGAGACTACTTCTTTTAAGTTTCTCCCGTTGATGGTTGGGCATCTTCATCACTTCTGTCTTCTTTACGTTCACTTGAAGTCCCGTCTTCGCTGCCTCGATTCTTATATTAACTTGTTAGTTTTTGCCTGTACATCTTCGAGTTTGTGCGACAAGACACTAGACACAAATCATCATCGGCAGCGAAATCTAAATCTTCTAGGATCTTTTCCCCGGTCCAGCCAGCGTATCCCTTTCTTTTTGCTCCTAACGGTTTTTGCATGACTCAGTCCACCATAATCAGGAATATCATGGGTGATAGCAGACAGTCTTGTCTTACTCCTTCTTGTCTTCACTTCAAGAGCATCACTGAGCTCCCCATTATGACTCACACGGCGTGTGGCGTCTTCATATAGTTGTTGAATGAGGTTGATAAAGGTTTGTGGTATTCAGTAGTGTTGAAACAGCTGCCTGGCAAATTATTTGTCGGTCGACGCTGTTGAAGGCCTTTTCGAAGTCGATGAAGCTGAATTTTAGGTAGACAGTTGACTGCCATTCTATACTCTGTTCTATGATGACGCGTATGATTCCACCATATTCGAGCAATATTATATTGTTACACCTATGGCATAGTTGGCTAAACTGTCAATGTAAACCACTTTTGACGTCTCACCTTTCAAATTCTTACTGAAAGACTGATGTTGAAGTGTTTGTTGAGTAAATCTAGTAGTCTTCAAGTTTATAACACAGGTTAGAGGACTTATGGATACGTCATACCTATATGCCGATGGTAGGAACACTTATGGTAAGGGAGCATAACATGACTTAAGTTAATAATTTTGATATAAGAGAATATGCAGATGGCGATCAAATTTCCTCGATACTTAATATAATTTTGCCAATGCAGTTATACTTGAAAATTAGAGATGAAACTTTCAATAAACAGTGAAGTACTATTTATCTTTAAGGTTCATGAATCTTTTCCATTGAGCAGATTCGACAAAGTCATACTCATATGCATAATGTTGAGTTGGTGAAGAATATTTGTCTCTCAGATGAATAACTTCAGTGGTGTTGTGTTCTCTAAGCTGAATAGTATAATCGTCAAGCTTTTACTGTCATTCTTGACAACAGTAGCAGCAAAAACTATAGAAAGAAATGAGTTAGTGGATTTTCTTCAAAATTTGCTTAGTAGTTTGTTATGATGACGTTGAATGTGATTGATTGTTTCTGTTGTAATTTTGTTATTGTGTGTAAACATATCTTGACTAATTGTCTTACTGAATTGAACTGTATCATTCTTGTTGTTTAGTATATCATTCATTGGTCGATTGATTGGGTTAATATGTGTGTTGATTACTAACTGACCTGTAGGCTGACCTAAAAATTCCTTCGCATCATTACAAAAACAAGTAATAACAGCCAAGGTCATTATGAAACACTATCAAGCTGATTTTGTTGTAGAGCTAATGTTGTCTAGAATGACAATCAAATTATATTATATTATTATTTGTCCTTTGGGTTCCTAGTGGAACATAGGGCGTCAGTAGCACACCTCCATTCCACTCTCTTCTCTCCACTCTTCAAAACCTGGTTACGCCACTACCCACAAGCTCTCATTTCTTCCTCACATCATCTCCTCCATGTCACCCTTAGTTGGGACGCCCAGCTAGTCGTTTCCCATCTGAGTTCCACTCGACTGCCTGGCCTGGCCTGGTGCGTGATATCCTTGAATGGTCTTCTCAGTGTATGCTCAACCCGATCCATCTCCCTTTCCTTCCACTGCATATTTGTTGGGTGATCGCTTCTTGGTTGGTTCGTTACCAGGCGAGAGTTCCTTGTTGCTTATCCTTTCTGGCAATCTAATCTTCAGTAACGAGCCGGCGTAGGCAGTTGTTGATGAATATCTGTAGTTTGTTGGAAATGCTTTTCGTGACGCGCCAAGTCCGTGAACCATCACATAGAAGTACTGATTCACTTGACTGACATTAGTGTTGAAAATGCGGATGTTGTTCACGCTTTATACTGAGTGCAGAAGGTGACCACACTGATTTGAGATTATTGAAAATTTGTTTTGCTTTTCCGATTGTGGTTTTGACATCCTCGTGTGTGCCTATGCCGCCTGTAGTTGAAATGATGCTGCTCTGCCTAAGTAGGTGAAAGAGACTACTTCTTTTAAGTTTCTCCCGTTGATGGTTGGGCATCTTCATCACTTCTGTCTTCTTTACGTTCACTTGAAGTCCCGTCTTCGCTGCCTCGATTCTTATATTAACTTGTTAGTTTTTGCCTGTACATCTTCGAGTTTGTGCGACAAGACACTAGACACAAATCATCATCGGCAGCGAAATCTAAATCTTCTAGGATCTTTTCCCCGGTCCAGCCAGCGTATCCCTTTCTTTTTGCTCCTAACGGTTTTTGCATGACTCAGTCCACCATAATCAGGAATATCATGGGTGATAGCAGACAGTCTTGTCTTACTCCTTCTTGTCTTCACTTCAAGAGCATCACTGAGCTCCCCATTATGACTCACACGGCGTGTGGCGTCTTCATATAGTTGTTGAATGAGGTTGATAAAGGTTTGTGGTATTCAGTAGTGTTGAAACAGCTGCCTGGCAAATTATTTGTCGGTCGACGCTGTTGAAGGCCTTTTCGAAGTCGATGAAGCTGAATTTTAGGTAGACAGTTGACTGCCATTCTATACTCTGTTCTATGATGACGCGTATGATTCCACCATATTCGAGCAATATTATATTGTTACACCTATGGCATAGTTGGCTAAACTGTCAATGTAAACCACTTTTGACGTCTCACCTTTCAAATTCTTACTGAAAGACTGATGTTGAAGTGTTTGTTGAGTAAATCTAGTAGTCTTCAAGTTTATAACACAGGTTAGAGGACTTATGGATACGTCATACCTATATGCCGATGGTAGGAACACTTATGGTAAGGGAGCATAACATGACTTAAGTTAATAATTTTGATATAAGAGAATATGCAGATGGCGATCAAATTTCCTCGATACTTAATATAATTTTGCCAATGCAGTTATACTTGAAAATTAGAGATGAAACTTTCAATAAACAGTGAAGTACTATTTATCTTTAAGGTTCATGAAATCTTTTCCATTGAGCAGATTCGACAAAGTCATACTCATATGCATAATGTTGAGTTGGTGAAGAATATTTGTCTCTCAGATGAATAACTTCAGTGGTGTTGTGTTCTCTAAGCTGAATAGTATAATCGTCAAGCTTTTACTGTCATTCTTGACAACAGTAGCAGCAAAAACTATAGAAAGAAATGAGTTAGTGGATTTTCTTCAAAATTTGCTTAGTAGTTTGTTATGATGACGTTGAATGTGATTGATTGTTTCTGTTGTAATTTTGTTATTGTGTGTAAACATATCTTGACTAATTGTCTTACTGAATTGAACTGTATCATTCTTGTTGTTTAGTATATCATTCATTGGTCGATTGATTGGGTTAATATGTGTGTTGATTACTAACTGACCTGTAGGCTGACCTAAAAATTCCTTCGCATCATTACAAAAACAAGTAATAACAGCCAAGGTCATTATGAAACACTATCAAGCTGATTTTGTTGTAGAGCTAATGTTGTCTAGAATGACAATCAAATTATATTATATTATTATTTGTCCTTTGGGTTCCTAGTGGAACATAGGGCGTCAGTAGCACACCTCCATTCCACTCTCTTCTCTCCACTCTTCAAAACCTGGTTACGCCACTACCCACAAGCTCTAATTTCTTCCTCACATCATCTCCTCCATGTCACCCTTAGTTGGGACGCCCAGCTAGTCGTTTCCCATCTGAGTTCCACTCGACTGCCTGGCCTGGCCTGGTGCGTGATATCCTTGAATGGTCTTCTCAGTGTATGCTCAATCCGATCGATCTCCTCTTCTTTCCAGTGCATATTTTTTGGGTGATAAGTTGTTGGTTGGTTCATTGTCAGCCAGCCAGCCAGCCAGAGTTCCTTGTTGTTTATTCTTATTATTCTGGTCATCTATCTGATCTTCATTGTCAGTATTGAGTGAGGGTAGGTGGCAGCTGTTGATGAATATCTGTAGTTCGTTGGAAATACTTTTCGTGACACGCCAAGCCTATGAACCATATAGGAGCACTGACTTGTCTGACGCTGGTGTTGAAAACCCAGATGCTGTTCACGCCTTATGCTGAGTGCAGAAGTTCTCCACACTTGATGATCTGATCCTGGCTGGCTTTGACGTCATCGTCTGTGCCGCCGCCGCCTGCAGTTGAATGACAATGAAAGCTGCCCAATTATGTCATCTAGGTTAATATTAATACCTAAAATGTATTTAGTTGATGATGTCTGTGATCTGATCGACTTCTTCTTGTGTGTAGGCGCATATTATACATGAAATGAAACCAACCTTGTTATTTACTGATGAATCTTCATGCAGGTAGAAATACTTTTTAATGATTATGATATACAGTGACCAAGGAAATTTTTGACTTTTACACACAAACCCATGTTGTTTAAAATCTACAGTCAACTATAGGTGTCTACAAATAGTGAGTAGTAGTCAGTAAAAAGTGATTATATAGTGTGCAAAGAAAATCTTCAAAATGATACCGATCTGTTCAAATAATCAAATCGTAATGAATATTCACAATCTATACGATTCAAGTAAAAATGAAATGTGTAGGTTTTGTGAAAAATTTTTTTCAATCGATTTCAGGATTCTGATCCTGTGGCTCAATGGTAACGTGTTGATCGCGAAACTTGAAAGTTCCGGGTTCGACACCTGAAGGGCAGGATCATGGGTGAGCACTACTACTGAGGAGGTTGACCAAAGTTCTTCTGATCAAACATGAAATGACTACAGTCATTGATAGTTTAGTTGGTATGTAGAAATATAATGAATGAATACGCTTTGGATCATCTCATTCAAATTGTAGTTCCTTTTATGACCTGTAAGCAGTGGATAGCTGACCTATGATATTCAGTGATGGAATCCAGCGCTTCTTAGTTTTCAATGCCCCTCCAAATTTTGTCCATCCGTGAGAGAAATTACTTTCTCTCTACACGGTTTATCGAACCCAACCATCAATCAGTCACTAAATGGAATGTTTTAGGCTACTGAATTACTCTTTCTAATGGTTATTCTTTAAAGTATGATGAATAGATTTCCATCAATACTGGCTGATAGATAGGAAATTTTACAACTATTCAAAGACAGATTTATGGGTCAGTTGTAAGCTGTAAACCTCATCCCTATTGTTTGTAAACACTATACTATTTTGTCAAATAAATCCTGGATGAATAGGCAATTTCATACTCCGCTTAGTTGTTACATTTTTTAATCCGATAATATTTAACTTTTACTTCATTTCAACACTATGACAGCGAAATTTAACCAACAAAAGTGGCAGTAATAGTAGTGGTAGTAGTAGTGTTAGTAGCAGTAGTAGTGTGAGTAGTAGTAGTGTGAGTAGTAGTAGTAGTAGTAGTAGTAGTAGTAGTAGTAGTAGTAGTAGTAGTAGTAGTAGTAGTAGTAGTAGTAGTAGTAGTAGTAGTAGTAGTAGTAGTAGTAGTAGTAGTAGGAAATCACTGCAATCCGTTTATTGTTCATATCAAATGATACTAATCTTTGTGTGTTGCATCAATTGAAGTAATATAACAAAAAAGTGTCAATTATTTATCATTTTAGAGTTCAAGACGTTCAAGTGAAAGTAGCGGTTCTGTTGATAGTGAAGTAATATTAGAAGCTGAACGCTTAGAATTAGAACGTTTAGCTTTAAAAGAACTTGAGTTATCAATTGTAAGTTATTCTATTTAGTAGTACCTCCTTTTTGGCGTATTCTTTAACTATTTATTTAGATTATTCTTTCTAATTTGTAACAAGATTTCAATTGTTGTTTATCTGTTTGTTTCAATAGCTTACTGGTTTACATATTTCACTTTGAAATGATGAAATAGTATTTAAAGTAGGCACAAGAAGTATGCCCGACTTATATCCTAAGGCAAAATTTCATCGCATAGGCGTTCCCCTTGATATACACCAATTAATTCAATCATCAATATAAGTAAATCACTGTAACTACCATCCAATAATAATAAATATATTTCAAGTTGTTATTCATCGTAGACTGACATCAGTTGGAGGAACAAAGGAAACCTGGGAGCTCTGGACAGCTGTTTCGTCCTAGTATGGGACTCCTCAACAGTGCGCACCCACGACCTCACACCGGCAGGGATCGAACCCGCGACCTTCAGGTTCCGTGGCCAGCGCGTTACCATTGAGCCACTGTTAGAGAACATTATAAAACGTTATCTTCATGTTTAGATGAAAACTATACAAGCAAACTAATGAAGTAGCTATGGGTTCTCCAGTGTCCCCTATCGTTGCAAACCTCTGCATGTCCCATATTGAATCAATCATCTTTTTAAACACCATCAAACCACGTATTTGGCTCAGATACATAAATGATACTTTCATAATTTTGAAAAGATCTGGCCTAAGAACCTTTTCGAACTGAATTAACACTTATTCTCCATATATATATATGTATAAAGTTCACATGTGAACATGAAAATCCAAGCAGGGAACTACCATTTCTAGACTGTTCTATAGTTAAAAGGAATGGAAACGAAAGTCTAAATTTATCGATTTATCGCATAAACCAACACATTCAAATCGATATGTTGATTTTAACTCAGCACATCTACTCAGTGCTAAACTTTCACTTGCTCGGAACTTATTCAGGAGAGCCACAAAGCTCATCACGAATGAAGATGACAGGCGAACAGAAGTAAGTAATATATCAGATGTTTTATATTCCAATAACTACCCTCATCATGTCATTCAAAAGATCCAGAAACATGAATCGTGGAAACCAAGAGAAAATTCATATGATGATTCTTGGATTGGTACAGTAGTTCTACCATTCCACCAAGGTACAACCGAAGAGTTACAAAGAATCTTAAGAAAGTACCGAGTTGGGACCGTTTACAAGACAACCAACACTCTCAGTAATGCTCTAGTCCACATAAAAGATAAACTTCATTATACCTTCAGACAAAATTGTGTCTACAAATTAGGCTGTGTTGACTATGATGCTTATTAAATGGGAGAATCATCCCGTAAGATCCTCATTAAGGCTAAAGAACATGCAAGCTACACAAAATGACCGCCAAATAATCCTGTAGAACTAGAGAACTTACAAATCAAGTCGGCGATCGCAGTTCACGCCATCTATCACAGTTACAAAATCAATATTGAAAATATTAAAATTATTCGAAAGGGATTTTTAAACTACAAAGAAAGAAGAATAGCCGATGCCAGGCATTTCATATTATATTTTTGAGGGAGTTGTGGAGATTTAGAAATATCTCAAGTTGTTATTCATCGAAGACTGATATCAGTTGGAGGAACAAAGGAAACCTGGGAGCACTGGACAGCCGTTTCGTCCTAGTATGGGACTCCTCAGCAGTGCGCACCCACGACCCCACCAGCAGGGATCTAACCCGCAGCCAGCGCGTTACCATTGAGCCACTGGGTCAGAATCCAATGCTCTATATTTCCAAGGTCTGTTGGCTGACGATATAGCTCAACCGCCACCCAATGTCATCGTTGAATATCTGTCCTCACGGCCATCAGGCTTTGACTCCACCGGTCACGACTTCCCATTGGAACTTCGGGAATACTTCTCGAAGCTAGTCACCAATGAGCACCAGTTCAATTAAATTTTTGAGGGAGTTGTGGAGATTTAGAAATATTTCAAGTCGTTATTCATCGGAGTTCCGAAGTTCCAATGAGAAGTCGTAACTGGTGGAGTCAAAGCATGATGACCGTGAGGACAGATACTCAACGATGACATTGGGTGGCGGTTGAGCTATATCGTCAGCCAACAGACCTTGGAAATATGGAGCATTGGATTCTGACCCAGTGGCTCGATGGTAACGTGCTGGCCATGGAACCTGGAGGTTGCGGGTTCGATCCGGGGAGGGCGGGGTCTTGGGTGCGCACTGCTGAGGAGTCCCATACTGGGACGAAACGGCTGTCTAGCGCTCCCAGGTTTCCTTTGTTCCTCCAACTGATATCAGTCTTCGATGAATAACAACTTGAAATATTTCATATTATGTTGAATCCTAATGCACTCGGGTAACAGAAAGGAAGGCCTAACTATCCAACCAACCTGGACAGTAAGTATTTCCAAAAACAACACATCACACACACAATGGATCTGATCAAAAGTATATACACACAAACAAAACGAATTTTGTCATCCATATTATTTATTTATTTATTTTTCTATACCCAGTTACATACAGACACATATTCATATCACCTTGACCTCCAAACTAATTTAACTGATAAACAATGACAAATTGTGAACGCTTCCTGACCAGCATAACGATGACATTCACGTTCATATTATCATCATGTATAGACGACAATATGATGTGATTTGTCACATTTTACTATTTAAACTATTCAATAACTTGAACAGGTTGAACAATAACTTCATGCAAGCCAACAGGCAATTGATTCACGTTCTGTGTACAACCTGAGTTACACTGTGATATAATATGGGGAATGATTGAAGGTGAACTGAACACTTGAGTAACAGGATGCTTCAAAAGAGTGACCACTGGATTAATGACCTGCTTCATTACTAACTGAGCCACAAGACATAAATACTGCCCTAGAAATAAGTTGACTGTCATGTGGTTGTCGGTCGATATTGTACTCCTGAGTTATCGGTAATGATGTCACTGAGTACGTCTGCATAATAGGCTATGAGGTAGACTATATTTGAAACCTGATAACTAACTGACTAACTACTGAGGTCTCTCATGGTTGTGATTGACTCGAATTCACCACTCAAAATACAGCCATAACTATGCTCTATCCCTGATCTTCACTAATCACCATATTTATCAGAAACATTTTGAAAATTAGACTTCGTAACCCCATATATCGCTACACTTTATGTAATGATGGATCATGTTCAAAGTGTAGTCGCATAAATTCGATTGGATCCATAATGTAGTTGTACAAGGGGATAAGTTTTGATCAGCTAAAATGCTGACCAATGAACGTTTCTAGTTTCAGGTTAACTATAAATTTCTTGAAGTTTCAAGATACTCCTTCTATTTACTGTTGATAAACAGTAAATAGTTCAAAAGCATGACAACATTTCAGCATTAAAAAAAATACTTTTATGATCTCATTTCTATCAAATATGATCTGAATTGTCATAATGTAAACGTTTTATTTTGGCATGTATATATAAATGTATTTTTCTTCTTTTCACTATGTTTAGTCTAAACCAGTAGCTTTTTCAGTTAGAACTAATATCAGTTTTGATGGTGGATTATACGGTTTGGATGCTCCTTCACCGACTAGAGTTGTCAGTTTCAGTGTGAAAGATTTTCTACACATTAAAAAGCGTTTCAATCAAGATTGGTGGATTGGTCGAGTTGTACGAATAGGCAGTCCAATTGGTTTTATACCAAGTCCATCAAAACTTGAAGTTATCAATAATATGATTTCACCGGCTAATACAAATGTAGTACATTTTGCTAGTGAAATACAAAATCCTACAGGGAAATCAGGTAAATAATTTGTTTACTATTCTACTTATTTTCAGGTAGTATTCATTACAGACTGACATCAGTTAGCAAACTATTGAGAATCGAGGAACACTAGACAGCTGTTTTATCATAGTATGGGAGTGCTCAGCAGTACGCACCCACAACCCGACAAGGGGTCGAACTCAAGACCTCACCTATATACATATAATATATATATATATATATATATATATATATATATATATATATATATATATATATATATATATAGTGCTCTCATTCTAATGTGGAACTCCTAAGTGGTGTGCACCTGTGGCCTCGGCAGGGGTCGGATCCACAATCGGCAGAATCTGTAGCAAGCATGTTACCATTAAACCACTGAGTCAGAATCCCATTGTTCACATTTTCTTAATTCTAACAATTCTTCATGTAGTTCAGCTTTCATCTAGTCCCATTGTTGAGTATCTGTCCTTATGTATGACTTGGATTATTATCAGTACAATCTGTGCTGTAAACATCTCGTAATTCATAGTATTCTACTGGTATATCTTATCATAACTCTAACTAGCATCATTAGTGTTTTGAACATTCAATAGTTCAGTTGAAATTTCCTTACAAATTTCAACCCTTCAAATGTTTGACACTGATTTGTATAGAGTGTAAATAACCTGATAAACTGAGCCTATAGCTAGGAAAAACACATAAGCGTCTAGTTCGAATCCTCTAATCACTTTCTAAAATGTACTTGACTATATCAAATAGTTTTTTGTTGTTGTTTTTACTTACCACTAGTTTGCTTTTAGTATATTTCACCTAATTTGTATACTTACTAGTAGCTGTTGGAGGCTTTGGATCAGCAGATACAACATTAGAACGTGGTGGGAATCGTGGACTGTTACTAGCTAACGAGTAAGTTACAGTGAAAGAACATATTTAACTTTCATTTCCTTCAGCAATATTCCTATCTTAAAATGTAATTGATACTTTTCTTTACTTGTGTAAATAGGATAGATATGAAGTTTACTACAGAATAGTCATTTAAGAGTAGACTATAGAAATCAGATTGATTAGCATAATCTACTTCTTCATGAAACAGGAGGGTTTCTTGTTGTGATACTGAGAGCATCTCTAATGAGAACTTTAAATACTCAGTTGAAAGATACAGAGGGAACAGGAAGGAAGCTTACTTAAACTAAGTAATTATACTTTTATTGCTATAAGGGATAGATAGATAGATAGATGGGTGATGAATTTGTCATGTGATGAAGAAATTACAACCGATAAGTTTTGATGACTCTCTTCAATTGATCAAGACATTAGAATTGGAAGAGACTTTGAAATTTAATTTTTTCTTTCAATACTTCATTGAAAATAAGACAAGATAGTTTCTTCTAGAGGATTGATCTATAAGAAGCTGACAGACAATCCACAATACATAAGTTTCTATAGATTGAATGAATGCCTCTTGATCAGGAATTACAAGAATCTGTAAAGATAATACAGTTGATTATGAGTTGAACAAACCTCAACAGACACAATGGTACACAAGAAGTATTCATTGAGAAGTAATAAGAAAAAACTGAAATCCAAATTGTATACTTATTTATTATTTTATTTATTTTTCCTTTGGGCTTCAGTAGCACACCTCCATTCCACTCTGTTCTCTTCAGTCTTTTGGACCTGGTACCACGACTCCCCATAAGATGTCATTTCCTTCTCACACGATGTCCTCCATGTCACCCACAGCTGGGACGCCCAACTCGTCGTTTCCCATCTGGGTTCCACTCGAGTGATGTCCCCAGTCAACCTTCTTAGTGTATGCCCAATCCATCTCCACTTCCCCCTGCATATTTGTTGAGTGATAGGTTGTTGGTTGGTTCGTTGTCAGCCAGCCAGCCAGCCAGCCAGAGTTCCTTGTTGTTTATTCTTTCTGGCCATCTGATCTTCAGTATCGAGCGTAGATGGAAGCTGTTGGTGAATATCTGTAATTTGTTGGAAATGCTTTTCGTGACACACCAAGTCTCTAAATCATATAGTAGCACTGACTTGAAATTGATGTTGAGAATCCGGATGTTGTTCACGCTTTATGTTGAATGCAGTAGATCTCCACAGTGATTTCAGATTAGTGAAAGCTTTTCTTGCTTATCCGATCCTCGCTTTGACGTCCTCGTCTATGCCTTCTTTAGTTAGCTGTATACTTAGGTAGTATACATATTATATAAGTGTAGACCATCGATATGAGTGCCGATTTCGTAGATGATACTACAGTAGAAGGCATAAAGAATTTACAGTTTAAATCTCAATTCAAGCCATATCTCTGTGTACAGAAAAAGTAGATTCAATCTGTCATCTTGCTATAGTCTAAGCTTTTTCCTCTAATTTTATAATCTAAATATCAGTAATCGGTTAATAAGGGGTACCTACATTATAATCCTTGTTTCTTTCTTCACCTTCTTTACATGAATCAAATGGACACCATCACGGTCACGGTTACCACCTAGTAGAGATTTTAACCTTGTTGAATCCTTTATCTTTCTCCTAGGTTACTTACAACTCCGTTGCACGCTTGGCTCTAATCTTCGATGCTATTTTAGTGATGCAGCTCAACCCTATTACTGAACAGCAAGCTGTTAAATGTCTGTGATATATATATAACTTCAGAGAGTCATGTAATAAGGACATTTTCATCACCGAACCATCTCTTCTTTTCCTAAAAGACGGCATCCTTTGTCCTCTAACCCCAATGATATGGCGCTGGTGAGGACTACGAAACTAGGACGAAACGGTTTTTAATGTTTCCATTGCTTCTCTAGCTAAAGAATTAGTTCGTGATAGATGTTAAATCGAAATAGGAATAAGCATTTGAAATATTGTACCTTTCTTGGTGATTCAATAAGATGTGGGGACACAACTTCATCTTCACAAACATCATACAATCGGCATATTCATATTCAGTAAAGCTGCAGGAAAAATTTCTAGAAAGCAACAAAAGTAGGTCATTTTTATGCATTGGTCACATGAGGATTTGGTAGTTAGTGTATGATTCGGCCTCTTGAATGACATACTATCCTGCATACTGATTTCCTAGAAAGCCTGTTCTTTTCATCCACTATGTAAAAATCTGATTATGCACTTTTAAGGGAAATATTCCATATCTGAGATAGTTCCATGAGATGAGATGAGAAAACTTCTTCTTCTTCGTCTCAAATAACTCTGGTTACCTGGTTTTCGTTGATAGTTATTTCGGCCATATTGAAAAATGAAGGCGGGTAGCACAACTAGTTATTCAGTATACAATGAAACTATCGCTCCGATGACCTTGAAAATGACCTACAAACTTACTGTCACCAAATTCAAGTATCAATACTCACCTTTTCTCATATATCTAGATATAATAATGTGCATGAATGATTCCAACTGCCTCTATGAATTCAGAAAAGCGTCTGACGTTCGTAGGATTTTGAGATAATTGGGAAATATTTGTAGGTCAGCAAGATGATTTCGTTGCATTCTCTTATCGGAATGCTTTAATCACGGAGCTTTCATTGTCATTCTAGACAACATCAGCAACAGTATAAGCTTCAGAAAGGAGTGGTCTATAAGTATTTCTTCACAAATGGCTTAGTAGCTTGTCCTGATGACGTTGAATATGATTAGTGGTTCCTGTTATAATTTCGTCATTAGTCTGCACACGTATCTTCTTGATTGGCAGTGTTACTGATGTGAACTCTGATCTTCTTGTTGTTTCATCTGATGATTATTAGTTGATAGATTGAATCAAAGTCAGTATGTCTGTTAATCGGTGACTGACTTGAATGCCAAACTTCTAGAAATCCTGTATCCAGGATTTCTAAATCCTTCCACCACGATTCATATCCACAATTGTTTATATGTATTGATATGAGCGAAGATATGTGATGATACTTGACTGCCAGAGAATCTTTAAAAGCTCGTCACGAAACAACAAGAAGGTCATAGTTCGTGTGAGTAGGAGAAACAACTGAAATACATATGGAAAGGGTGATAAGATTTTAGCAGAAATAACCACTCATGCCCAACATCCTCATAGCAAGCTACTAAGCTATTCATGAAGAGTGACAATGAAAGCTTTTGGGATAAACATTCAGCTGAGAGAATACAATAGTATGGAATTTCAGAGAAGCTGAAGAACATTCTTTCATGATGTATTACCTTATTAACTATTTTTTTTTTTACATTGAACATTTTCAATATCATCAGTGTAGACCATCGTGGACCAATTTTGGGTGGTAATCGGCAACGACAATCTGAATCACCTCCAGGACATAAGAATTGGAAAGGTTAGTTCGAATGTACTCATAAAAATGCTCATTTGTTATTCATTTATGATAATAAAAAACATAACACTAACTGATATATGAATAGTAAGAATATGTACTAAATCATATTGAATGAGTTATGTAGACTGAAGATGAACAGTGGATAACTTATTATAAAGACAGGTGAACATCTAAATTATCTTTATTATTTATTATTTATCCCCTGGGTTCCAAGTGGAGCATACGGCTTCAGTAGCATGTCACCATTTCACTCTCTTCTCTGCAGTCTCCTCAATCTGGCTGCACGACTTCTCATAATCCTAATTTTATGAATTCACTTCAAGTTCTATGTAGGTAGGTGCTTGAAAAGATTTCAGTCATCTTGAATAATAGTCATGGTTGTATTGTGTTCTCTGAGTAAGCTGAGTTGTTTAATCGTGAAGCTTTCATCGTCTTGCTAGACAGCGACATCATCCACAGCACTATAAAGTCATCGACAGAAATCAACAAAACGCATCATCTACCATAATGCATAAAAATATATCAGAAATCACGACAAGATTACTGAGACCACTTGGTGGAATTGGTGTGGCTCATTAACGAACAAATTCCCTCCAAACACTATTATGCAGACCAAAGGAAGCAGCAAGCAAGGAAGACAAACCGAATATCATTTACAAAATGAACTGGAATAACTGTAGTCAACACTAAATTGGACAAAGTGGTCGGCCTCTTCGCCTTCGTCTACATGAACACCAATTGACTATCAAACGTCACACACGACATTTCATCACTCATTTCAATACATGTGGATAACAACTATGGACATGAATTCAATTTTGACAATGTAGAAATGTTGGATGGAGAGAGGAAACACAAAGAATATGAGAGAATTCCTAGAAGTTTGACATTCAGGTCAGTCAGTCAGTCAGCTAGTTGGCAATCAACAGATGTATAGACATAGACCCAATCTGTCGACTAATAGAAAGATGAAAAGCGACAGGAAGGTGAGAGGCCAGGTCAGGCAGTGGAACAGCTAACAGGAAAATCTATGCAGTCAGTCAAAGAGACAACAGTCGAAGGAAACAACCAATCATAGACCACATCGTCAGAGCAAGCCACTAAATCAGTCGCGGAGAGATATTGACAGGTCACTTCATACTGAAGTTAGTGCTGTGGATGATGTCGTCTAGAAGAAAGGCGATGAAAGCTTCACGATTAAATAATCGAACTCAGAGAATACGGGACAACCAAGACCGTCCATCTGAACTACAAATATTCTCCACTACTTGAATATTAATCAGTTAAACGTGTTTACAACGCCATTGAAAAGTTTGAATTTGATTCGTTTTCATGACTGATTACTATAAGACGGCTGACTCCAGATGTTGAGTTATTCCTACTATGATTTTTGAGACGTCTAGCTTAATTATATGGTAGGTGTTAGTTGGCAGGAACCTGTAGACTTAAGCTTGGTAATAGTTGGTATTTATTCATAACGCTTATTAGAAATCATCTAGAAATTTGTGCTCTACTAACCTTCACAAAGTATAACCCAATGGGGTAGAAAAACAAACAAATTTCTGACGTTTTGCAACCTCATAAAAGCCTCTTCTTCAGGGAATAAAACCAGTACAAGTTGCATGTTAAACTGATAAATGGATAAAAATAAGATAAAATGAGGTATTTGCAGAAAAATGCAGTCCATAATGAAAATCCTATCACGATATTATTGATAGATAATGGTTAACATTGGAATACAGGGGCGTGTTTTGCCCTACTTGAGACTCGTCATATGGATGTGCACGATTGCCAGTGGTTGATGTTTTTTCCTCTGATACTCGAACCAAGCACCAGTTACTGGAAACGCTAGATGGTCTTCTAGTAGGCCACTTGATCAAGATATTGGTCCATCATTTCGGTCTAATCAACGGTGTAGATTTATAAGCCATAACATCAAAGCTAAATCTCACTGTGGTTTCCAATGGAAACCAAAATATTGTGACTGCTAGACACCATATATATATGTCAAGATTACAAGCGCGAGGCTGCACGTAAAATGAATAGTCCTAAGTCACTCATACAGATCAACAATGCTCTCTAGCCAGATCAATGTAATCTAAACACCGGATGTAAGTTCTGCTTGTTTGTAGCCGATTACATGACTAGTGGGCCTAGAGTGATTCGTCTCGAAGAGTCGCACTGTTCAGAACACTCAATACCTTCAGGTTTCACGGGAACGCGTTAACCATTCAGCTGAGGAGTCTTATACTTGGACGAAACAGATGTTCAGTGCTCCGAGATTTCCAGTGGTTCCCCCAACTGATGTCAGTGAATGATGAATACTACTTCTAAATTGCAAAAATCCCCATTCATCTTAGAAAACCTTTAAGTTAAAGATATTTATTCATATAAAGTCGCTTACTTAACCCATCTAAGATAGTCTTAGTCGGTAAGTTTTGTTATCGACGCCGGACAGGATTTCTGAACTAGGAAATATATCTGAGTAAGGGAGAAATTTGAACCAATAAGTTTTACGTCAGACAGCATATACTTTACCAGTTGTACTACAGACGAGGTCTAGTTTTTCTTTAGACCATTTGGTAATCAGTCAAGTTGTGATGTTTTTAATAGATAAGGATACTGATTGCATGCGATTGTAGAATCTGTTCAATTTTTAGGTGAATAGAAGTTAAACAGCTAGACTATGTTCAAACTGTTTACTTTCGGTTAATGGATTCACTGGATTAATATTAACCATTCATAACTACTCATATTGACCGTTAGTAGTAAGTATATGCTGCATAACATTCACTTTTTAGTGTTATAATGACAAGAATTTCTTTCAGATACTGACGGATATGATGATGATGATCTACGTGAAGGACCACAGACTACTGAAGTGTCAGGGCAAACAAATACAAAGAAACCACAGCCTATTGGACCTGGAGTTAAAAAGAAGGCATTCTCAAAAAAGTAAACTACGACTAATTAAGTGCTATATTTTTCATTGAATGTTTTTGTCAATGAAACATTATAATGCTGTTTTTAACGTTCGAGATCAAAAATCCACTACCTTAGAACCAACCAATCCACACAAAGCTTCAAAATGGAATACTGTCTAGGTGACATCCTTCCAGATGGATTTCCCAAGATTATAATGACAACCGACGACCTATTGGGACAATATACTCACCGATAGAATTGATTGATAGTCGTGTTATACAGAAAATTAGTGGAATTAGAAACCTATGAACCACTCACTGGATTCCCACCGATTGTCTGAGTAGTAGGTTACTTGTTAAGAGATCCCTAGAGGGGTCACAGGTGAACATTGTTGAGGAGTCTCATACTGAGATGGAACAGCCTTCCACTTCCCTCAGGCTTTAACTGATTGTCCAATCGATGTAGGTTCGTAGTATTTTTTATCTCGCAATTTTGTTTGTTTATTTATTCGCTGATAATAACAGTATCACTCGTAAAGTAGATGACAACACATCCGTTTTGATAGGAGGTACACCGATTCAAATTTTAATAGGACGATAAGTGCCAATCAGATTTTAATTCTGGTTTTGTTATTAGTAGTGTGATGAAGCTATAGAAATTTATTCCAGATAACTTACAATAAACACAGTACACCTTTTGTTGTCCTATCTGTGTAGCTAATCGGTTACAGAATATTGGAGAATAGCCCAGTGGTTAAGTCACTGATTACAACACTGGGTGATGCCGGTCGAAATTTCAGAGATGACATCATTTCCCTCGACGTTGCAGATATGCCTTGCTGACGATTGCCAATCAGTTGGAAACGTAGGCCTCTAAGGACTCCAATTAACTTATTGTTAGAAACCGTTTAGCTGATTGTTTACAGCTATAAATATAAATCTATTTGAAACGTGTTAATTTGCTTGTAACACGTGATGGTATACAATCAACCTGCAGGTCGTTATGGGTATTTTTCTACTACAAAGAATGTTCAGCCACATATTTCTCTAGTTCATGACAGTTACGTAACAGAGATAACATGTTATGGTATTCATTGAAAACCTAGTTGGGGAGTTAAAGACCTGCTCAACTGCGGGAAATAGGAAAATACACAGCGCAATTTGCTCTAATATGGTGTTCTCTTAAAGTCCTCGGCAACTTTTCACTTGTATCTTGATCAAAGTGTGGCAACTGGAGTCATTTTTCACCGAGGTATTATTATTATTGTTTGTCCCTTGGGTTCCTAGTGGAACATAGGGCTTCAGTAGCACTTCTCCATTCCACTCTCTTCTCTGCAAACTTTTGAACCTAGCCCCAAGAAAACTCACAAGCTCTCATTTCTCCCTCACACCATTTCCTCCATGTCATCTTCAGCTGGGAAGCCCAACTCGTTGTTTCCCATCTGGGTTCCATTCGAGGGCTTGGCGCCTGATATCCTCAATCGGCCTTCTCAGTGTATGCTCAATCCGATCCATCTCCACTTCCTTCTGCATATTTGTTGGGTAATAGGTTGTTGGTTGGTTCGTTGCCAGCCAGCCACAGTAAGTTCCTTGTTGATTATTCTTTCTGGCAATCCATCTGAGCTTCAGTAACGAGCTAGCGTAGGTGGCAGTTGTTGATGAATATCTGTAGTTTGTTGGAAATCCCTTTCATAACGCACCAAGTTTCTCAACCATCACATAGAAGCGCTGACTTAATCTTGTTCATGCTTTATGCTGGAGTGTAGAAGATCTTCACACTATTTTACACCGATAACGGATCGCATATTGAAGTTGATAGACTTCAGTCAATAATTCACTTGTATGATAGAATGAGAAATTGTTCATCTATTTAATAATTTCAATGATTAATACTTCAATTTTCTATTTAGAATGAATTAGTACCACCGTATGAGATTGTTCCGTGTATGCGACCGGTTGTATTCGTTGGTCCAGCTTTAAAAGGTTATGAAGTGACAGATATGATGCAGAAGGCAATATTTGATGCAATGAAAAAACATTTTGATGGAAGGTTTGTAAGAAATCTCTAAGAATATTCAATAATTCTGTATGTTAACTTTTCATTCACCTTGTGCATTGAAATTTCTTTAACGATTCAATTGGTTCTATGGTGTAGGATTTTTAGCCAAATCTTCCATTGTTTTACTTGGCTGGCTGGCTGGCTGCTGGCTGAGCGGCTTAGGACTGGCCAGTTAGTAACTTTTCAGGTATATTTTGAAAAGTATCCTGAACATACTCTTACTTATTTACTGAAGGTTCCTTTTTTTATTTATTTCATTTGACACTTGATTATACATTTTTTATATCATGTTGATAAATATCAACTGGCTTGATCGATTTATTAACAAACATTATACCCTAAAGATTCATTATTGAAATTATCCCACAGAATGTATCTCATTCATTGATATCAACAAGTGAATGTTTAAACTAACAATATGATTCATCTACTTGTCTTGTCTTGTCTTGTCTTGTGTATGGATCATTTGAAGAGAATACTCAAATGGTTACAGAAGTAACTATTCTACATAAGAAGCATAGATAGAATAGAATTTTACTAATTGTTCACTTTTATCAATCATCTAGTTGATATAATTTGAATAACAAACATTTAGAGTAAATTTTTCTATTTACAATCCATACTCAGACTGTTAATGTAGACATTTTATTGTTTTCACTTCATTTCCCTGAACTTTATTATCTATATTCATTCAGAGATGATTCTATACTACATGTCAATGTGAACATCTTATCACTCAGTGTATTTAGAGGAATAGTGAAGACTGGAGAGGACTGAATAACTGTGTTGTACTGGTGTATATAACTCGTCGGCAGATCGCATCGTATATTATCTCAAAACTAGTCAATCCCTTCTCCCCCCCCCCACACCTTCGGACTGAATTACTGTCCACTGCTCACAGTTAACATTCTGTAGAGCAGATTTCCAGAAGTTAAAGTGAAAAGTATTAGACTATGGGTTATCGTTGCTCACTGCACATAAATTTCTCTTTTTATGAAGAAACAACTGTCTATTGCTTTAAGATTTTCAATCACCCTCCATCCTTCATAATGAATACTATCTTGAATGACAACTATAGTTGGATGTAAGTGGATATAATTGCTTACCTAATTCTAGGGGAAATGTTATCTAAATGAATGATGAGTGGGGCAGATAGACACTTGTAATGATAAGAAACACAATAACAATAAGAGAAAGTAGTTAAAAGGAAATTGGGTGGGATACCTCGCGGGTCACAGGTGCCCACTGCTGAAAAATCCCGTACCAAGAAGAAACAGTTGTCCAAACATTTGAGGGAATTCACTTCAAAAAGGAGGATGAAGCTAATAACGTAATTCCCTTCCTAGATATAGTCACATCAAAAGAACACATGACTGGACTTTAATAACTCCAGTGTACAAGCACTGTTCTCAAGAGCCAAAAACATACTGCAACACTGAAGCACTACAGAAAGTCAATGGAAAACACCTGTAGAAGTCAATAACTATCCATTGAACTTTATCTCAAAGTGTTTTTCAGCAGGATGAAAGACAGAACAATTGCTTCAACTCACTAGACGCCTTATTCTATCCCTATATCAAATATATCTCGAAAACTGTCAACCGATTACTTCTCATCTTTTCGGAATTAAAGCAGAACACAAACCAACGAAATCACTAAACAGTATATTGTGCAAACCAGGGAATCCATTGCCATAATCAATTGCAGACATTAATGATGGATACTGGGTAGCAGTGGAATCCACGATGCGTATTTCGTCCTATTTGGTATAATACAAACAATAACACTAAAAGTATACCCATCACACAAGATGTGGCTATCCTGGCTTGGTGGTCTAATGCATAACGCTCTGACATTTGAAGCGATCGTCCCGAATTCGAATCCCGGGTGGAACAACACTCACTGGGAGGCAGGTATTTAAGGCTGACGAGTCCCAAATAGGACGAAATGTGCATCCTGGATTCCACTGACAACCACTCTCCACCATTACTACATAATTAAGAACACATGCAATCTTGAGGCATCCGCACAGGATCCATATGCCGATAGAGACCGGTCAATTCAATCCAATCAACGACAGTATAATACAAGCAATAACATTGATTGCAAAGACTGTTTGCAGCCCACGCGGTTCAGTCTATCCATTGGATCGCTCAAAGAATTCATGAACACCAAGTAACAGTAAAGTGAGATGACGCGGCCTCCTTGTTTTCAATGCATGCACATAACCACAATCACAAATTCAACCAGGAGATTATTGAAGTCCTCCTCCAAAGAGCAGGTTCAAAATTTGCATGAGATTTCCTAGAAACAAGACATTCAAACGAAATGCAAATCAACAGACATGTGGATGTAGACCCAATCTACAATCTACTTACAAAGAGAACACCTATCCATCGACCAATAGCAAATTGACCGGACAAATCAAAAATGATACTGAGTATGACGACGAAAGATAGCACAATTTCACTGTGACAAAGAATATCTAGTATTGTGACTGAAAGAAAATTGAGGTCAAAGATGTCAGGATGTGATAAAAAAATGTCTTCTCTAACTTACCATTGAACAACACCCGAGATCGATAAAAGCACTATCAACCAGCTACTGTCCCTAGACGTATTGCTCAGTCGACGGGAGGATGTCTGGATCAGGAGGTCGATCTATAAGAAACCTACATGGACAGGGTAATATCTTGATTTCCATAGCTATTGCCCAGTTCAGTATAAACGTGGTTTACTTAGATGCTTATTCAACAAGATAAAGCATATCTACACCAATGACACCAGAGAAGAAGAAACCAACTTACTGACAGCAACAATACTGACACAGAATGGATACCTGTTGACATTTACCGACAGGTGCAAAAGTTATGTGCCATTGAAAAGTACACAGTGTTCCGTTGTTAACATAAATGTCTACATCTCATTACCATTTAGAGGTGATTCACATAGGTTTCTTGTGAGGAAAAGACTTAGATCGGCCATCTGTAAAACGTATTATGTAGCCAAGGTGATCATTGTAGAGAAGACCAAGCACAAACAAAAACAACATATAAACGATTACATCACACATCCCACTGTGTTTATCAATTTGAATGTATGTGTGGACACATACATATATAGGGAGGAGTAATCGTGATATGCAGTTACGGAAGGTTGAACATGTACCTAAGTGTTTGGTATCAAAAACCAATTGACCTCAACAGATCCGATAAGTGCAGGTAACAAACATCCATCTTCGTCTATCGCTAAACATTTACTAGAAACTAACCATAGGATTGACATGAAAGGAAATAGCCTATGAAGTACTACATAAGAGTGGTCAAAGTCGAGTGCTCAATATTGATTCAAGCTCTTGCCATCTGTTAATTTAAACCCCATACTTTATGTATACAAAAACAATTTGTACTCATGTTGAACCTACATTGGTGGTGTATTGATTTTAACTTTCATACACAAGAGTAAAGTTTGTTTTTTCTTCTTTTTCTCTCCCTTCCTATTCCCTCCAATGTTTCCTATTAACTTGATTGACCTTCTTCATAAATTTTCACATAAATAATTCTACAAGTCCTCGCCTGGTTAACTAGTCCACTAGTTACTAGCCGGTCCTAAGCCCGGGTAAAGAGGGAAGGTTGGGCATACGGCTAGCAACCCTACCCGTAAAACAAATCTAACCGCTAAACAAACTTCAAAGCACAAACGAAATATAAAATATGAAAACAAACTTATTCCCGCTGGAATCGGAGAGGCGAAATGACGCCAGTTGGTGAAAGCCTTCGGGAAGCCAATTGGCCGGGCCGATGTGTCTTCTCTCAATGAAAGCGAAAGTAAACGTGGGGACATGGAATGTCCGTACGATGTTTGAACCCAGCAAGGTAGCCCAGATTGCAAAAGAGATGAGAAGGTATCACACTGAAGTGCTTGGGATTTGCGAAAGCAGATGGAATGGGAGTGGACTCTCCAAACTGTCAACTGGAGAATCAATAATCTACTCCGATACTGTCACCCAGACGACAAAGCGATGAGTTGGATGTCCGAGGGTGACATGGAGGAGGTCGTGCGAGGAGGAAATGAGAGCTTGTAGGCTGTCGTGGAACCAGGTTCAAAACATCTCGGAGAACAGAGTAGAATGGAGACGTGCTACTGAAGCCTATGTTTCACTGGGAACCCAAGGGACTAATAAAATAAAATAATAATGTGTGAGGGATCAGATTGTTCGAAATGTATAGCGCTAATAAACCACCACATGTTTCAGATAATCTTCATCTTCGACAAAACAATAAGAAGACGTAAATTGTCTGAACTGTGTAATGTATTTGCACAACACGTTTCGAACTATCTGATCACATATGTACTTGTCATAGGTATTTATATAAAAGCTCATGAATATAAGGGTGTGAGAAAATGAAAAGGGGTCAGGTAGGAAGGCTGATTAAAGGCCGAATAACAGTGAAAATCAATAAAGCGAAAAAATAATAATACATCGAACTTGGTTTTCAATATAGATACATATGGAGGACTAATAGATCCATGCAAGTAAGGGCCTCGGAACATATTCCAAAGTGGCTTCAGAAGCAAATTAAATCACCTGAACCTATAAATGTTGATAGCAGACGTCCAAGTTCTTCTATCGTCAAACATATCGTTGAGACAAGTCACAAGATTAATGTGGCTACTTCCTTCACACCTATTAACAAAACATGTTGGGGAGGGATCGTGAAATTTGTTGAAGCCTTAGCTATTAGGAAGTTGAAACCACCTTTATGTGTTCATAAACAATTTGTTGTCACATTAAATCTTCCTGGTAAATTCAACTATTGAAAAACCAAGTTCGATGTACTATTATTTTTTCGTTCTATTGATTTTCATTGTTATTCGGTCTTTAAGTCAG